AAGTGAGAAGGAAAAAAAAAAGTTGAGAAAAGTAAAATTTACATAAAGTTTGTATTTTAAAGCCACATTATGGGCTTAAAAGAAACTCTGCTTCTTCTAGTTCAAGGAATGCTGATACAAGTCACAATTCTTACTGGGTTAAAGGTAAAAACCCAAGTACTCTTAATGTCTTTGTTAAATTTCAGTATTATCTGCCTGTCTTGAAGCAGTTCTTTTACATCTCTCTTTACATCCTGAAATAGCCGTGCAGAATGTTGTTTGTTTTAGGACCCGTGGAGAAATAGAATGTACTTGAATGAGCATTCATTCAGCAACCCAGTTCTGTTGGAAACCTCTGCTTTTTTCATGCAAGTGTGTGTTTTCTGTGTGTTATCTGCCCATATGGTTAGAACTGATGTTTCTCACCACTTCAGGCACTGGGGAAATTTGAAGCATAGATGTGACACAAATAACACAGCCAGCTGATTATATAACGGACTGAAAAATCTGCCCCTAAATTGAATTAAAAAAAAAAAAAGCCACTGCTTTGCTGCTTTTTGTTTGTCACAGATGTTTCCCTGCTCAAGGAAAGCTGCACACTCCAGAATCAGAGCCATGATGTTGTACGTTTTCTGCAGCTCGGAATTACATAGGAGACACCTAGTAGCAAGGACGCTTCCGAGACTTCTCTCGGCCACTGAACAGATCAGTGCATTTGGCTGAACCTCAGTCTCCTCTCTGTGAAATCAGAGTTTGCTAAGCCCCTTTCAGGTTCTGAGCTTCTTTGTCTATTCAAGGGAATGCAGTCTTTATTTTCTGCCTTTGTATTTGGGGGGGAAAAAAAGCAGAAGTGCTTTTTTTTTTTTTCACATCTTTCCAACAAAGCCTGGAAAGTTCTACCCCCACCTGCACCTCCCCCTTCATAGGAGGGACCATGGTTCCCATCAGCTCTGTGAGATCAGCAGTCATGCAGGATCCTGTGGGCTTGTTCTGTACTTTCAGTGACCCCATCTGTGAAATGGTGGGGTGGTTTCATAGGACTGTTTCTGTTACAACAGGCTCCAGTGAATTCCAGAGACAAGGTGTTGAGGCAGGGAAGAGACTCTAATCGAGGAGCTGGCAGGCCGAGAAGATGGCAGGCTAGCACCTCAAAATAACCATCTTATTGGGGTCTGGATGCCAGATTCTTTAATCAATCGGAGAGAAAGAAACAATGAGGAACTAAAGTCAAAAGGCAGAACAGAGAGGGAGAGGCAGTGGGGAAGTCAAGTGAAAGGGTCTTCCATCTTGCCAAACATCTCCAAGGGAGTGGCCAGCCCTTGGAAGGGGTGTGTTAATCTATTCACAGGTGGGCAGGAAGAAACTGTCTCTCCAAGAGCCGAACAAAGGCACTATAGCTTACAGTCAAACAGAGGGGCAGGGTCCTCCAGGCACGCCATGGAGTACCAATAATAATAAGCCATGGAGTATTGATTATCATAATAAAAGCAACAAAATGCAAGTCAAGGAAAGTTTCCAACATGGAGTCAGAATTGGCTTCCTCCCTGCAACATTTCTGCAGTTCATTTCTCATAAAATGTAATTTTGAAGTCAGGTTCACATGGACTGTAGGAAGTTGTGCATGTCCTAGGAAAAGCCACTGTCTTCACTGACATCTGATGAATAAATTAGAGTATGTCTGGCTGCTTACAGCAGGTGCCAGGTCTGACAGCCACTTTGAAAAGTTCTGACGCATGTCCTGAAGGTCAGACTTTGTAAATGGAAACTGAGAAGTGCAAGAGACTGTATTCCTAGCCCAACTTCTTAACCTCTAAAATGTTTTAGAAATTAGAAAAGCATTTTGTTAAATCAGCTATAGATTATGTACCTGTAAAGCAAATCAAAAGGCAAAGAAATTATTTTTAAAAAGGGCTTTGTTGGGAAGATTTTAACAGGATTCTTCAGGTACAGGTCACTGGATAGCTTTATGAGAGACTTGGTCAATGTTTCTCTGGTGGGTATTAAAATCAAGTTGTTCCTTTCAGGGCAGCAAGAAAATGGCTCTAGTTTGCAGAGGGCTCTAAGCACTCATTGACTGGGAGAAAAGGGACAGCCTGGATTCAGAGTACAAATTTCCTTCATCTGAAACCTTGTCAGCAGATCAAATCTACTATGAATGACAACTTAGAATTTTGGAACCGAAAGGTCCTCTAAAAATCAGAATCCACTTCCTCTTTTGTCTGCTCACCTCTCCACCTCCATGTCACTTCTACCAAACTCTCATTTTTTTTTCCTATGAGGAAATCAAAGGCCCAAAATGTAGCCAAATTTCTTTTATCTTAAAAATAATCTACTCAGACCCGTGTCCTCTCGCCCCACTCTCCAATTTGAAGATGTGGCATTTGATGTCTTTGAATAACCCTTCTTCCTCTCCCCAGGGTTCTGCTGGAACTGTGCATTCCTGCTCTGACCCTTCCTTCTCCCTTCATCACTTTCCCCTTCCATCCTGTCCTTGAAAGTTCCTGTTATCTGGGAGTCACCCTCTGGATCCTTCTGTGGGTTTACAGTTCACATAGGGTTGGGGAGAAAGCGGTTGGAAAATAGGGAGATGGCTCATTTAAAAAAAGATTTGAGACTTACACATTTGGCCTGTAAGTTTCCTTACTGTCACCAAGGCAATGCTGCCTCTTCCAGAATTCCAGCTCAATCCCCCCTCTACACACTTCCCTAACTTTGTTGTTTTTAAGGTTATTTGAAAATCTCTTAAAAGTCATATTTGATTTTCAGTTCATTCATTAAAAAATACTGCATTAGAGCATTTTTTTTTTTTTTATGGCAGGGAGGGCAGTTTCAGGGGGTGGGGATAGATGGCATCAATTTTTGGTCAAAGTCCTAGGTTGCTCATGCTCATTTTTGCTCAGTAGCTTCTGAGGAACTTAAAGAGCCAATGAGACAAAATCAATGGCTGAAGGGACCAAAAGGGTGACTGGAGAGGTGTTTGCCGCTATAAATGACTTCCCATCGCAATTTTCCTGAATCCCATTGGCAAATAGTTAAATACGCCTTACAGATTGTTCTCTAATGGTTGATCAAATGCCCTGCCCTGTGCTGTATAAACATAGCAAGTTTTTCTAACTCTATGTGTATGTATTACTGTCATGGTTAGTCTCTCCAGATAAAATGGAATAACCCCCAAAATGATAACTGCAACCATCCACATTGATTCTAACAAGAGGAGAGTCACAGCATTCGTTTTGGGTGGCTTTGCAGTCTCGTATTGTTGTTAATTTCCTGAAAACTTAACGTTAGATGAAGTGTAATTGCAGATTTCCTTAAGAACCATTGACAGATACTTATCCTAAGTCATGAGCAACTCACACTGTGAAATGTGTGCAAACATTCTAAGTTTCCTTCCAGAAGAATATACTTCAGTGAAACCCAGTATTCATCAGTGTTTTTTTTGTTGTTTTCTTTTTGTTTTTTTTTTTTTTTAATAAACAGGGCCATTAAAACTCAAAGTAGAAGTTAGGAGAACTTCCTTTTGTTGTAACTTGATGTTTAAAAGAGATTAATGTTGCGGGAACTTTCAGTGGTTTTCAAGGAGTGAACTACATCAATCTGTGATGTATCGTCTTGGAGACCTTACTAAGTGGCTACATTTGAATGATAGAGTTAAAAAAAAAAAAAGAGCAAATTATAGTGTATTGGCACTGTATAATGGAGAGAGGAGTTTGGTGTGTTCAGTTTTTTCTTTTTAATTGTTAGGTGGTCTATTTAGTGCAGCTGTGTTTATGTTTCCTAAGTGGTAACTGCCTGAACATGGTGACAAGTCCCTACATATGAGAAAAGGGATTTTGTTCAAAAAAATCTTGCCAATGTACTTTAACATGGAGGGTTGTATTTATCAAGGGGCAGTGGCAAAAATGATTCTAGTCATAATCATCTAATATAGCTGGTTTGCTGTATCAGCCATTTTGACAACCTTGTTTAAAAAAAAAAAATAACTGATACTTTAAATGTTGCATTTCACAGTGGAATAAACTTGGAAATGGTAGAATAATTTAGAATGGTCACATTGCTTTAACCAACGTTTTGGCTAACTTAACTTCTTGGTTATTAAAAATGCATGCTTAAATCTTAAATACAGATCCTGTAGAGAATAGCCTCTTAAAAAAATAAAATGAATATGCAGTCACAGCTGCAGCAAAAAAGAGACAGTTGCCCATGAGAGAGAAAATGTATATATTAAGCAAATAACTGAATTAATCAATAATTTCAGAATTGCATGCACTGTATGAAATGTTTAGGTGCAAAGACTTAATGACTAGTTTTTGAGGCGTTTTCTTTAGTGTTACATCCCTCATAACTCAAATTAATGTTTATTACCAGTCTTTCATATTGCCAAAATATTTTCATGAATTTGGATTAGAAGCAGCTTGTTCTGGCTTGTTTTGCAACTTTGTTTCAAGAAACAAAGTGATATTTAGAAGATTTTTGTATGTCTCAGAAGCCTTAATTATCTAACTTCTGTTAAAGGAAGACATAAGACCAAGTTTTGCTTCATAGTTCTCTAAGACAATAAAATTTTTTCTACCCAAATTTTATATTACTACATAAGTAATAATGCCTTTCTGGAAATTTGAATCAGTGATTCTTGTATTGGCTGTTAAGTAGCTAGCAATCTGGATCTGCTAGCAATCTGGATCTGCTTTAAATTCAAGAAGACAGGACTTGGGACTTCCCCAGTGGTCCAGTGATTAGGACTTCATCTTTCCAGTGCACAGGGTGTGGGTTCCACCCCTGGCTGAGAAGCTGAGATCCCCCATCCCTCACAGCCAGAAAACCAACACATAAAATAGAAGCAATATTGTAATAAATGCAACAAAGACTTTGAAAATGGCCAACATTTAAAAAAAGAAATCTTCAAAAACAATTTTAAAAGACATGACTTACTGGTCCATACTCTTTGGGTTGGCGTTTATTTTGGCTTCTCAGACATTGGCCTGATGGCTCCTATTTTTTTTCCTCCCCTCTTTCCGCAGATTGGTCAGAGACAACAAGTGTTAGTCACCGAAGAATCTTTTGATTCCAAGTTTTATGTTGCGCACAATCGATTCTACGAGCAGGTAAGAGACACTCCCACACTCTCAGGATTTCTCCAAAATAAGGAGGAGTTCTGAAAGTAAATCAATTTAAGCAAAAGATACTTAAAGTAGCAGAGATTTGTGTTGATAGCATTTTGTGGCAGGAAGGCTATTTTATAGCATCAGGCCAGCCAAACTAACATGGGGCTTATCTTTGTGGCTTAATCTACAAAACATTCTATCCAAAGGAGTAAGTGTGTTTTAGTCCTCATTCGTCTTTGATGGGAGCAGCCTCTGGTGTTGGGGAGTTTGAAACCGGCAGTTCTGACCGCCCCAGCCTCCCACAGCCTGGCACCATGGAGGGAAAAGTTCTGTCCAGGGGACAGGAAGGATGTCTGCACCGGCGACATCAGCCTGGAAGGGCGGGGACTTCCTCTCCCTGTCTCAGCACTCACACAGCCTTTTGGTTGGTTGTCTGTTGGTTGGCTTTTTTAGTTTCAGGGTTTTATTTTTTTGTATTGCCTTTTTTTTTTTTTTTTTAACTTCCATCATAATGAAAAGTGCTGAGGGCAAAAAGAAAAGAGTGTGTTCCTTGAACTCAGCTCACATTGTGTGAACAACTTTGGAGACCAGAGTGAGGATCAAGCTAGCTTCACTTGGAGAGTTTTCTTCGAGGCCCACCTGAAGGGACTCCCCAGTCCCCGCCCGTCTAAGGCAGCGTGCCTTGCCGCGCCAGCAGCCAGACTTCTCGTTCAGTGTTTAGGATTGCACTTCCCCAGGGGGTAAAGCAGTTCAGAAGTGACTAAAGCACACGATGCCTCCTCCAGGGGCCATCGGCCCTGGCAGGGAGGAAGTGCCATAGGCCCTCCGGGTCAGAGACACTCCTAGGGGAGAGGGATTCCGTGGGTCATCCCTGGATTATATTTTCTTAATATCAGGTGGGTGTTGCTACTCTTTTGTTCTTCTCTCATGAAATGAGAAGTGGACTTTTTTCCTGAGGATCGTGGCTTGGGAAGGCTCTCCAGGCCAGCACGGGCCACCCCGGTGAGGGGCGAGCGGGTGCGGCCGACCGCCTGTGTTGGGAGCAGCGGAGCAGGAGTGGGAGGCGGTCCCAGCGTGGCGCCCCATGTGGACGCCTCACACCGGGCACGGGGCTCTCAGGGGCAGGGGGGAGCTTTACAAGGCCCAGGCCACGCGTGCCCTGTTCAGGCCCCAGTGGAGACTGCACTTGAGGTGGTGGTGGTGGTTTAGTTGCTAAGCTGCATCTGACTCTTCGCGACCCCATGAACTGTAGCCCACCAGGCTCCTCTGCCCGTGGAATTCTTCAGGCAAGAATACTGGAATGGGTTGCCATTTCTTCTCCAGAGGCTCCTCCCGACCCAGGGGTTGAACCCGGGTCTCCTGCGTTGCAGACAGACGCTTTACCTTCTGAGCCAGCCAGCTGAGGACTGATCCCAGCCCTCCATGTTTGAGCTGAGCCTTCCCCGTTTTCCATCTCGACTCCAGAGAACCCTCTTCCTCTTCAGGTCAGCCTTCTGCTCAGCTCTCTGGAGGAGCTGGATTATATTTTGGTAGCCTCTTTCCTCTTCTTTCTCTTGCCATCTGGGTTTTTGCCTCAGCAGGGAACTTTTTTTCCCCTTCATTTTAAAGGCGATGGCATGCCTCATTAGCTGTTTCCTCCAATTTAAAGCAGTGGAGCTTTTTCCAATTATTAAAACTGGAGGGGGAAAAAACACTGAGCCCTTCATTCAGATCAAGGCAGCAGATCAAGGAGAGTTATTTTCCCCCAGAATAGTACCAGATCTCCCAGGGACAGTTTACTCTAGAGATTTTCTTGTTTTATAAAAAATGATTTAAAAGAGCTTTCATATCCTGACACTAAGGCTCTCTTAGTTCATTAGCTTGCCATGAGTAATCCACCACCCAGGTGACCTTTTTCCTATACTTTGATGAAGCAGTGTACTCAGTGGTCATAAAAAATCAAACTCAGAAGGACCAAGATCCAATTTAGCCACTTGGAGAAACTGGATGTGGAATTTCTGGCTCTCATCTGACTGGTTTTTTTTTTTGTTTTTTTTTTTGTCTCTACAACCAAGCCTATCAAAGATTTCATAGGAATTATTTTTCTACAAAAGATGACCTCCAGAAGTGAAGATTGTATCTAGATATCAGAGTAGACTGCTGGATCAGAATTAGTCTGTTTATTTTGGATTCTGACTTGAAAAGATTGGCAGGTAGCTCCAGTTCTGAAATAGAAGTGTCAGGGAGAACAGAATACATACGGGCTACCTGTAAGTCCCAGAGGAGGGAAAACATTTGCTGGAGGTAAACAAGTACCTTGATCTATAATCTCGAGTGGAAAGAGACCATCTGACAGGTTCCTGTGAGCCAGCCAAAATACCTTTCAGAGGAGCTGGTTCTGTGTGGACGCAGAACTAGCAAATAACATGCATTTTATAACAGAGTGAAAGAAACGATGGAAACCATCAGTTAAAGAAGTCATTTAGCTCAACACCAAGGTTTGAACTGTGGCAAAGGGGGCTGTGAAATGTTCTTCTCCGCCCAAAACAACAGGCATGTACACACACACGCGCGCGCGCACCCAAACACACAGGCCTTAGTTTAAAGTGGCTGCTTCAATCATGACTCTGACAGTGAACTTGGAAGCTTCCAAACGTATGAGGGTTTCATCGGTGCTGTCCCAGTTTCCTTCATTGCCTGGGACAGCCGAGAGCAGGATATCAAAGGCCTGTGCAGAAGTAACTGGCGGATGCCTGAGGGGTTCCGAGCATGCCTTCCACGTGCCTTAGGAACACAGGCGTCCTGCGAGGAGTGAGCACTGTCTGCAGCCCCACCCCTCCCAGAAATGCCCTCCTTGTCTGCTAGATACCCAGATTTTTGAGCATCTGGAAGATAGAGCCCGCTTAAGATGGGATCCCCGAAGAGAAAAAGGACATTAAGGGACAAGTGAGGAAATTTGCATAAAGGATAGAGTTTAGTTAATAGTAATACATCAATACTTTGTCCACCTCAAGAGCCGACTCATAGGAAAAGACCCTGATGCTGGGAAAGACTGAGAGCGGGAGGAGAAGGGGACGACAGAGGATGAGATAGTTGGATGGCATCACTGACTCAATGCACATGCATTTGAGCAAGCTGTGGGAGATGATGAAGATCAGGGAAGCCTGGCGTGCTGCAATCCATGGGTTCACAAAGAGTCAGACACAACTTAGTGACTGAACAGCAACAAGGCATCAATATTGGCTTATTAATCGTGACAAATGTATCATACCAACGTCAGATGTTAATGAGAGGGAAATTGCGCCTGGGGTGTGTGAGCTGTCTGTGCTATGTGAGCTGTCTGTGCTATGTTAACAAAAATTCTGTAAATCTCAAACTGTTCTAAAATAAAATTTTATTTTTAAAAACTAACTCTTCTGTCATTTTTTTTTTCAGGTTTTAGTGCCAAAGAACCCCACATTCATGGGGAAAATGGTCGAAGTGGACATTTATGAATCAGGAAAACATTTTATGAAGGGGCAGCCAGTTTCAGACGCCAAAGTATACACGCCATCCATCAGCAAACCATTAGCAAGAGGAGAAGTCTCGGGTTTAACAGAGGTAGGTAAAAGCGGCCTTCCTCTCTGCCCAGCTAGTAAAAAGGCAGCTGTGGAAGCTCTGCAATTTCCAACCATGTTTCTGTTATCTTGTACAGTTCCCATTTTATATATGCATGAGGCTTTAATCCTTTCTGACAGATCGAAATCCGAATTAGAAAGATGCATTTTTGCTGATGCCTATAGCTTTGCTTCTCTGCCTGCAGAGGGAAGAAGCTCTTTCTGCTTCTAGGCTAGAGGCAGAGGGCAGAAGCCATTATTTCCAGGTGAAAGATTTAACACCAAAGATGATCTGATCCAGTATGTTTCTGTGTCAGTAGATCCTGAGTGGAAGCAGGTAAGAAAAGGATCATTTTCATGCTTTGCGAAAATGATTATAATACAGTAAAAAAAAAAAAAAAACCCCACCTACCTACAGTTAAACAGGCATTAAACCATGTCAGTGTATGTGGTCATGGTGCCTTTCTCTAGGGTGTTAGCTGAGTATCTGCTTTAGTCATGTGGAGTGAAAATTAAACATGTTTTTTTCTTTGTATAAAAAAGTAACCTGACCCCTACTTTATACCTTGGTAAATATGGCTGTTTGCCAGGCTCTTCTTACATTTCATTGAGCTACAGCTGTAAAAGCTGATGGAGTGTGAAATGAAAATGTGTATCACGTTTCTAAGCATCATTTGATGTCCTTTCTTCAACACAATTGTTAAGTGCTCCAAAAAAAATAAAAAGTAGAGCAATGACTTAACATTCATAAGAATGATGAGTGATATTTATCTGGCTGTATAACTCCAGTTTTGTTTTAGTAGATGTATTATCTGCACCCCACCCACCCCACCCCCCACCCCAAAGAAATGGCAAAGGCATGCTAATTAAATGTTAGGAATAGTGACAAAGAAGGTCGTATTATCTATATTCTCACCTATTGTGATGACAGTCTCTGAAACCCGAAAGTGAGTGACACTTCTCACGAGCTTGACAAGGACGTGAAGACTCCGTGGGTACAGCCCTCTGACTGAGGACTCTGTGGGTACAGCCCTCTGACTGATACCGAGTGATGTCGGTAGGACATCAGGATTGTCTAAACCCTGCCAATTGTGTCAGCCTACTTGACCAGGAGTGAACTCTCCAACTTGATAACCATAGAAATTAATGTTTTCTGTTGTTTAGAAAAAAATCATACGTCATACTGGGGGGTTTGGATGGATGACCAGGAAGGAGCAATGAAATCCAGCATTTAAATTATATTGCTTTTGATATGTTAGGTAATACTTCAGAAATTTTTCAAGCAAGTGACTTAAAAAAAAAAAAAAACTCTTTTTCCTCATGGTCTGTTTTACAAGGTTGATTTTAAATTGCCACAGTGAAAAGGATTTTATGGCAAATAGCAGCAGTGGCCAAAGTGTTATTTCAAAGAAACCTGCCTGATTTAATTCCTTCATGTATGCCTATCAAAATTGCTGGTATTTTAAAACATCACATTATAATTATATACAAATGAGGAAAAACAGCACCCTTTCACTGGTTCCTTCTCTGGAATGTTACTTTCTAAGAGGGCAGCCCCATTTGAATGCCATGGGCCAGCCTTTTCTATTCTCCTCTGCCTCCCTCCAGCCTGGGAAATGGTGTCAGCAGCTCCCTGACCAGCCCTCCTCTGGGCTGGGTTGACCCTGAAGTCCTATGTGAGATGAGGATAAAGGTTATTTGACTGCTGGCCCTTCTTCCCCTCTAGGAAATATAGGTTGATCTCAGGCATGAGGCCAGAGGGTTCAGAATATTGATTTGTGCATTTACATTAAGGGGAACATCCGGCAAGCCCTTTATCACCATTTGTGACTTCATGTAAATTAATGAACAGAGCTTTCCGCTTCATTATTTGTCTGCTTTTAAAGATATGCCAAACTCGGGGTTCAAAAAGCCTTCTTCAAAAAAGCATTTGTCCTGGTGTTACAAATGTTTTTGCTGATGATATGAACCAAAATAGATTAAACAGAAGAACAGCTTCCATTTTTATAGGATTTAGAGGAAGGCGATAGAGGTTATAATCCTGCCTCAGACATTTTGAGCTCTGATAAAGGTGCTGGAACTCTTCAGTGAAAAAATGAGCTTCACTCTGTGGATGAAATGTGACCCTGGGGTCAGATAGACCTGAGTTTGCATCTCGACTTGTCAATTTACTCCTGTGAGCTTTGGTTTAGTCTGTTAAATGGGGATAATCATTTCTTTCATGGGGTTGTTGAAAGGAACGCATTCAATAGGGTATGTAAACCACCTAAAACTAGGCTTGGGACAGAGTAAGTAGTTACTAAGTGGTTATCTCCCCTTTCTGCTAAATCTAGCTGCTTTAGAAACAGCAGACTCTGAAGATGACCTTTGGTTGTTAATTAGTTAGCTGTGATTATACAGTGCACATAATCCCAGGGGTGGGGGGGCGGGGGGCGAAGCGAATTTCTCTGGTAGGGTAATCTATTCAGTGCCAAAGAAACTAATCCCATCAGAATTTCTATCTTCTTAAATTTTCTTGGCTTTTCCTGAGTTTTTCTACAGTAAATGCTTCCTCCTCCGCACATTATAAAGAAATCTAGAAAAGCCAAAGCATCTAAAGCAAACTACTGTTAAAAAAAAAAAAAAAAAAGTGTTTCCCATAGTAAATGTGTTTCCTTAATTGAGAATATTATGATTATTCTCTAAGTCTTTAGTCCTACACTACTTTGCCCTTATTTTGTCTCACTTTAGGCACCACTGACTTCTGATAAAACTGGGAGAGGTACAACAGACTGGGGGAAAGCACAGGCCGGGTGGGAGTTACGAGATCTGGATCATGGGATTCTGGCCCCTGCAGTAGTAGACTCTGTGACCTTCTGTACATCACTTAGGTTCCCTGGACCTCTGTTGTCTCTAAGACTCTGTATCTGAAATATTTCATCTGACAAAAACGGATTGAATGCCTACGCTTTGGCAGGACTTTGAATTCTGTAAATATTAATAGAAATAAGGCCTAGTTATTTTCAAACAATGATAGTTATATAAATACCCATAGCATTGTGGAAAAGGAAAGCGTCTATAGAGTCAAAAGGTAACTATCCTCTAAGAAATTATATTCTAATAAAAACAGCATATAGTAACATTTTTTAATCGTTATTGCTATTCCTCTTTTCAGTTTGGTTAGAGGAATACAGGAAGAAGAGGAGACTAGGATAGAGAGACAAATTTCTCTGATTATTTTTAGAGAAGATGGGAGCCAAAAATGCCACCTCTAACCAAATAGGGAACATTTTTGAATAAGTATTCTTTAAGGATAATTAATTTCATAAAAAAAAAAAAACAACAACTATGTAATAGTTATCCTATAGAAAGCACTATAGGGCTCAAAGGGGTAAAAACATAAAGGACAGATCATGCATTTTTCTCTGGACACTGTCAGGCAGCTTTGTTCTTAGGATGAAGAAGAGATGGGAGAAAGCAGAGGAAATGTACATTTTCATAAGATGTTCTATGATAGTTGGAGAAGGAAATGGCAACCTACTCCAGTACTCTTGCCTGGAAAATCCCATGGACGGGAAAGCCTGGTAGGCTACAGACCATGGGGTCACAAAGAGTTGGACATGACTAAGTTGGACAAGACTATGATAATGATTCTCAAGTGTGGTCCCCAGATTTGCAGCATCAGCGGTATATGGGAACTTGTTATAATGCAAATTCATGGGCCACAACCCAAAACTGAACCAGAAACTCTGGGAGAGGGACCTAGTCCTCTATTTTTTTTTTTCAGAGGCTGTCTAGATAATACAGATGTACACTGAAGTTTGAGACCCACTTTTCCAGGAAAATGGTGCTGAAGTGGGGGAGGAGTGTTTGATATTTGTAAAAGCGGTTTTACTATTTTAATGTAGTAAGACCAGACTTTTTATATACCAGAGTGAGCTTACACTAGGTACAAAAAGAGGGGAAAAAAGGATGAGAAAATGTACAGTGTTAGCCGTCTTCCCCTTGTTCTATGAGGTGTTTGAGCTGTGAGTCTGCCTTAGGAATACCAGGTAATGTGAGCATTAACAAGAATTAAGACGAGCCAGATTCACTGCTGATGTTCCTCCTCCTTCTGTGGCCCCTGTTATCACACACCATTTGAATCCTCCCATTGCTTAGATCCACAGTCAAGAAGTCAGAGCTATTTTGTGCCTTGAAAAAGAGAAAAAAAAAATTCTCTCCTAATTCTAAACTTAGAAGTAGGCAGTTTTCCTCTTTTTAGGTTTATTCATATTTGTAAAGAATCACTTTAAAGAAAGAAGAGGCAGGGTAACTTTCTGAAAAGAGCTTGAGACTTGGAGTCTGTCAAGTGTGGATTCAGACCACAATTCCTACAATGTTGTACAGCACACCTTCTTCAGTCAAGTCTCTCCATCTGTAAAATGGAGATAAGTGATTTGCAGAAGATTAAATTAGATAATGTGGACAACATACCCACTGCATAGTATGTATGTTAGTATTCAATAAAGTGATGTAGTAAGTATTCCTTTAAAAATCAGTGATTTAATGGCTTTTATTTTAATGTCTTTACTCTTCTAAGTGGTACATTGCTTCCATTGGTCTTCGCCATCCAGCACAGTATAGCAAATAAGAACATGGATTCTGTTTCTGATCATCTGCATTTGAATCCCTGTTTTACCATAAGAAACAGAGCTTGGGCCACTTATTCAACCTCTTCCCCACTTAGTTCTTGCCTCTAGAACTGGGGAATAATAATAGTCCCCACTTCATAGGATTTCCAGAGAAATGACTCAGCAATCAATAAATGTCAGCTCCTGTCACAGTAAATGTTGGTCACTGATAATTAATAATAATTATCATTATAATTTCCAGCACATGCTAGGGCATCATTTTACTTTAGGCAATGAAGGTAAAAATTGCACAGTCTTGTATCATCGCAAGCATTGTGCTCATCAGCCATTGATCTCATACAGAATGGCAGATGAAACCAGATCAATTTAAGGGTTCCTCCACACAGAGAGA